ATAAATTAGAAAATACACAAATATAAAGAGAAAATGATCACTTAGAATGTCTCTAAACAGGTGTCTTCTGTTAACAGTTTGGTGTATAATCTAGGTTTTCCTCTGAGCATATATCTACCCACTTATTGGTTTAAATCTTTGAAAAGTTTATGTATTTACTTTGAGAGAGACAGGAACAGAGAGAGAGGGAGGAAGAGACGGAGAGAAAGAGACAGAGAATGAGTGGAGGAAGGGCAGAGAGAGAGAAAGAGAGGGAGAGCCCCATGTGGGGCTCCTTCCCACAAACTGTGAGATCATGACTGAGCTGAAATCAAGAGTTGGATGTTTAACTGACTGAGCCACCCAGGTGCCCACCCCCCAATTTTTTTAATTTACAAAAAATAGAATCATATTTTATACACTATCGTATAACCTAGTTTTTTCATTTAACAATATACCATGATCATTTTTCCATAAATATACCTCTGTAAGTATAAACGGAATGGCTGAGTAGTATTCCATAGTGTGATGCATCTCTTTCGATAGAATGTTTCAGTCGTGTCCACTTTTTGTAGGAACATTAAAAGTGTCTGAGACTTCATTAAACCTTTAGTGGAAGTCATTAATGAAGTCAAATTTAAGAGTTTAAGACACATTCCTTTAAGGAGAAAGAAATGACAGAATGGTGTTATAGGAATGTGTTCTACTGCAGCAAAGTACTTAAATGTTTTTGATGTAAAAGCACAGTTACTGGATCTGGTTCAAGGTACAGAACTTGAGGTCATTTGTTTCTGACTCAATTTGAAGTTGAGGTCATCACCATCTTAGAATAGGATTTTTCAGGCAGACTTTTCAACTGATTTCATTTCACACATAAAGGCTTCCTGCTTAAAATCTAGAGTAGTAAACTTTTTTTAAAAGATTTTATCTTTAAAGTAATCTCCACATCCAACATGGGGCTCAAACTCACAACCCTAAGACCAAGAGTTGCATTTTCTTTTTTTTTTTTATAAGTCTATTTTTAAAAAATGTTAAATGTTTTTATTTATTTCTGAGAGAGAGAGACAGCATGAGCAGGAGAGGGTCAGAGAGAGAGGGAGACACAGAATCTGAAGCAGGCTCCAGGCTCTGAGCTAGCTATCAGCACAGAGCCTGACACGGGGCTTGAACCCAAGAACCGTGAGATAATGACCTGAGCCGAAGTTGGACGCTTAACCAACTGAGCCACCCAGGTGCCCCATAAGTCTATTTTTTGAGAGAAAGAGAGAGGGTGAGAAGGCAAGCAGGAAAGGAGTAGAGAAAGAGGGAGAGAGAATGGATCCCAAGCAGGCACCACACTGCCAGCAAAGAACCATTATGGGGCTTGAACTCACAAACTGTAAGGTCATGACCTGAATTGAAATCTGGAGCCTGACGCCTATAGGTATATGGAAAATCAGAAGAATAATAAGAGTAATTTGCAGTGTCCACTCAATAATTGTACCCTTAGCCTTTGTTTTTGGCCAGATTTAAGTGCGTGTGTGTTTGTGTGTATGTAAAATAGTAAAATAATGGAAATATAAATTCTGTATTTGTTCAGTTTTGTTTCATTACCTGAATTGATGAGCAGAGTATCTGGACAATTGGCTTAGTCCCTCATTTATAGGGTGGTCTGAATGTTTGTGTCTCCCCCAAATTCATATGTTGAAAGCCTAACTCCCAAATGTGATGGTATTAGTAGGTGCGGCCTTTGGGAGGTGCTTAAATCCTGAGGGTGGGACCCTCATGAATGGGATTTCTTCCTTATTAAAGAGGCTCCAGAGAGATTCTTTGTTCCTTGCATGATGTGAGGATGCAGGGAGAAGTCTGTGATCTGGAAAAGAGCCCTCACCCGACGAACCTAGCACTCTGATATGAGATTTCCAGCTTCCAAAACTATGAGCAATAAGTTTCTGCTGTTTATAAGCCATCCATCATCTAATCTTCCTATGTGAAGGAGATTAAGAGGTACAAACATCCAGCGGCATGCAGGTTAACTGTAGGGGTCTCAGCTCAGGTCATGATCTCACAGTTTGTGAGTTTGAGCCCCTTGTCGAGCGAACTCTGCACTGACAGCATGGAGCCTGCTTGGGATTCTCTCTCTCTCTCTCTCTCTGTAAATAAATAAAAAGGTACAAACATCCAGTATAAAATAAATAAATCCCAAGTCATGGGGATGTAATATACAGCATGGGGAATAGGCAATAATATTACAATAACTTCGTAGAGTGACAGTAACTAGACCTATCTAGGTGATCATTTCACAATGTATAAAAATGCTGACTTGATATGTCATATACCCAAAACTAATATAATATTGTGTATCAAGTATAATTCAATTAAAAAAAAAAAGCCACCCAGTCTGTGGTATTTTGTTACAGCAGCCCGAAGACAGCATTAAGACAGAAGGTAAATAAGTATTTTCAATATCCAAATATTTTAACAAATAAACATAATAAAATCAAGGCATACTCCTTCCCTGCATTTTTTTCTTTTCTCACATAGAGAAATAAAATGCATTTGCTTCCCTATGTATACTGTGTGAATAGAAGTTCCTATAGAAAGGAATGTAGTAAACATAATTTTTTTAATGTTTTATTTATTTCTGAGACAGAGACAGAGACAGCATGAGCAGGGGAGGGTCAGAGAAAGAGGAAGACACAGAATCCAAAGCAGGCTCCAGGCTCTGAGCAAGCTGTCAGCACAGAGCCCGAGGCGGGCCCGAACCCACGAACTGTGAGATCGTGGCCTGAGCCGAAGTCACACCCAACAGACTGAGCCACCCAGGCGCCAGCCCCCACTCCCTTTTTAAATACATAATTCTTATTAAACTCTGGATTTAGGACAGTAGTTACCTGTGCTGGGTAAGAAGTATATTCTTTGCAACTAGAATATTAAAGTTCCCATCAATGAGATAAATAATAAAACAAATATAAACAAGTATAACAACGTTCAAGGTCACTTAAAGAGAAAGTATACTTCCTCAGCCAAGTCTCTTTGTAACTTGATTGAGGTTATTTACATTTCTAAACAAAGTATGTGGGTTGGGGGTGGGGTCTAATGAAAGTTTGGAAGGAGAGAGTCATTAGAGGAAACTTTGAGCCATCTACAAGTATTTAATGAACATATAGGGAGAAAAACCAAGGTAAACAATTTGCCCAGCTAGTAAAAAACAGATCTAAGATTCGAATCCACTAGATCATTTTGCTTCACGAATCTAATATTTATCAAACACCTTTTATGTGCAAGGCGTTTTGCAAGGGCGGAGTGCAATATATGATAAATCAGATATTTGTGGAGATATAGAAAGAGATGTATTTTGGTTTCCTACAGACTGTTTTGGATCCCAGGTTCTTGGAAAATTAGTCTTTTAACTGCAGTTTTTAAGCCAGTACAATGAAGTGATTGTTTCAAAAGAGAAAAATAAAAAAAAAGAAAAGAAACAAGAAAATGTATCTCTTAGTGACCAGCACACAAGAGGCCCTGGATAAATTTAGTTTTCCTCTCCCCAACTCCACTATGAATTTTCTGGAAGCTATATTATCAGGCAAGCCTTCAGGGAATGGGGAAGGTCGTAAATGATTTGAATCGTAAGATGGGTTCTTGCTTTGGACTGGTCGAGATGGGAGAAACAGCAAATGTAGTAAGTGTGAGGGCTGTGAGTAGACGCAGTCCATTGGAGTTTACCGGGAAAGAGAAAACTAGAAGCTGTAAAGGTCAGGTTACCAGCCTACTTGCAAAATCTCCTTCGGTATAGTGTTGGGTCCTACAAATACAGTATTACGACAAAAGCCTGAAATCAAGGCATCTTCTCTGACTAGATCCATAAAAAGCAAGTTTTTCTCTATATCGGGCTTATTGATTCATTTAACAGACACTTCACTTTTTCAAATAATATCTAAGATTCCAGTTAAGATCTAATTGCTCAAATCTGAGGATGTGGTAATCCATTGTCCCAGTTTTCAAGGAGATACACACGTAAACAATTTAAACACGTTTAGAGGAGACAGGTATCGATAGCCGCACAAAGGAAGAAAAAGATTTTTCCCCTGGGGCAGTTCAGCTCTAAAGTCATATGAAAATAGGCATATTTCACAGACTATAAAATCAGACGCCATTCTTAAACATTTAAAAGAAAGAAATAGGCAATATTTTTCACAACGTCAACTGTAACTCTTCATTTTGCGACGCTGTAGGGCAAAGCCCGCAGAAGAGGCAGCGTGATTAAATCTTACTGAGTTCCCGTTCTCCAAAACCAGTCCGTCACATTTCTCCTTAAAAAAGTAGAAGCGTGTAGAAATTACACTCCTCGCTTTTAAAGGAACATACAACTGGGAATACCAAGAAGAGGAACACGAATGTCGCAGTTCTCTAAGTGCGGCCCGCCCCTCCCACATGGTAGATTTTTGGCAACTTGACCCTCCTTCCTCCTGATTCTGGGGGAAGATTCTAACGCCCTCTGGAGGCGTCCCTAGTGACGTCACGAGCGCGATTCCAGTCGGTGGCCAATCACCGAGCCGGATTCCGGGGGAAGCCCGGGGCGGCGGCGGCGGCCTGTGCGCATGCGCGAGGTCTCCGCGTGTCTATATAAACATGGCTGGCGTGGCCGCGCGGCGGGGCTACGCCGAGTGTGTGTAGGGGGCTTTGGGGCGCTCTGGGTTTGTAGTTTTGAATTTTCTGGCGGGGGAACTGGGGCGCAGAGTCTTGCTGGGTGGTGGGAGCCGAAGTGACGGCTTTCCGGGAACCGCGCAGCCGGGCTCCGCTGTAGCGGGACCCGAGGCTGAGGCGCCGTGCTGAGCCGGCGCACGTGTGAGCGTCCCGGAGGAAGCTGCGAGCGGCCAGGCAGGTGTCGCTGCAGCCGGGGCCGCAGTAACGGGAGGGAGGTCTGGGACGCGCGGGTCGGCGGCCAGCCGGCGTTCGCCACTGACTTGTGTTGCGGCCCCTGCGCCTCTCCCTAGCGATGCTGTGGAGCCGGAACTGCTCTGGAGTCGGCTGCCGCTTGTCAAGCCTCCCTACGCCTCTGCTCCCGGAACGGCAGCGTCGCAGCTGCCGCTGATCCACCTGGGGGATGCCCGCGGGCCTCACGGAACCGGCCGGCGCCGCTCCTCCAGCCGGTGTGAGCGCCTCCGGGACCGTGACCATGGCCCCCGCTGGGACTCTCCCTGTCCGGGTGGAGAGTACTCCGATGGCCTTGGGCGCCGTGACTAAGGCTCCTGTCAGTGTCTGCGTGGAGTCCACGGTGTCCCAGCCCCTGCGGTCCCCCGTGGGGACCTTGGTGACCAAAGTGGCTCCTGTCAGTGCTCTTCCTAAACTCAGCAGCGGCCCTCCGCTGCCTGCTCCTCAGATAGTCGCTGTGAAAGCCCCCAACACCACAACAATCCAGTTGCCTGCTAATTTGCAGCTTCCTCCAGGTATGTCGATCACCTTTTCCAGCTTTTCCGTCGGTCCAGCCAGCGGTGACACGGGAAACGTCGCAGCTCCGGATTGTGCCTTCACGCTATTAGCTCAAAAAAAAAAAAAACAAAAAAAACCCCAAAACTCAGCTAAGAGAACCATTCATAATTGACTTTGCAAGACAGTGGTTTGGCTTTAGAATTAATACAGCCTCTTTGAGTCATTCCTGCACAGTTTTTCTTTCCATATTTAAGGAAAGAATCTGTTCACCTAAGTGACACAGTGAAAGCTGGAACAGTATGTATATTCAGGAGGGCCTTTGAGGCACTAGCTCCTAGGTGGGGGAAGATAGATATAGCTAAAGTTTATTTTCATGTTCAGAAGAGACCAGTTTTTATATCCACACAGTTAGATAACCATATTTTTAAAAAAAAGTTTATTTAAGTTCTTGTCTGTTGAAAGAGGATTTTAAATTTAAGCAAACTAAAATAAGTTCTCTGCTTTTCTAGTACCAGAAATGAATAATGCTCTTTCCTGCACAATCTTTAGATGTGTGATGATTGTAATTTTCAGTCAGAAGATTACCACTCATTCCCAGCAAGTGCCAGAATTGAGGGATCAGAGGCATGCGATTGTTAAATTTGAAGCAGTGTGTGAATGCTACAGTTAACGAGCCTGTGACCACTTTTTATCAGAGCGTCTACATGTTTGGGCTGGTTTTCATGATTTATACAAAGAGTTTGCCTTGTGATCAGCATATGGTAAATTTGAGTGTACTTTCTTCAACTGAAGGTGTCTTGGAGTTTCATTGGGGTAAAAAAAGGCACATCTCACATTCTTTGGAGTGAACTCTACTCCTAATTATATTGTCCACTCTTTATTTTGTTAGTACTAATGGGAACTCTGACCTGCAAAGATGGTAAAGGAGTGAAGCATTTGATTCAAGATCAGTATCCCCTAGCAAAATGATAGGGGCTCTTTTGTAGCTAATGTTCTGTCTGTGGAACAGTTGTGGAACTGTTGTGGAACGATCATGTGCTTCACTTTTGATGAAGTTCTGTTTCAGTTTTGTATTCTACAGGAAGTATATATATATGTGTGTGTGTGTGTATATATATATATACAGGATGTGTATATATATATATATATATACAGGAAGTGTATATATATGTATATGTACATCCTGTATATATATGTGTACACACACTTCAGGCTATGCTGTGTATGCCACTGGATACATTTTCTGCCAGTTCTAAATTGTCATCCTGCATATACTTATAAAGAAGTTATGAATGTGTTTGAAATAAATCACCTCTTTATTTGCTAAAAACTAAATTTGTCAGTGAGGATTGTTTAGAAACAATAAAAAAAAGTATTAAAATAGAGGAACTGTCACGAGTGAAAACTTGCTGGTAAGTGGGAACTAATCACTAATCAAAGACAAATGGCTATATACTTTAATATATTATTTATATTCTTTTGTTGGTCATAATAGGTAGCAGATACGGAAAGAGGTCTCTAAGGGTAAATAATTTGTCCAATGGCAGACACCTCATAGGTGTCAGAGGGAATTTGAATCCAGGTCTGTTTACCTTTACACACTATGCTGACCACTTGGTGTGTGTGTAGACTATGCCTGATTGAGTATCAGAGCTAAGAGCGACATAGAATTTTAGAGCCTAATCTTTTGTACACAAAGAAACCAAAACTGAAACGTACCAGAGCTGCATAGCCATAAACCAAAACCACAACTTAGGTGTGCACTACAATAACACAGTTTAGGTTATTGGCCATGGAGAAACTTCCACTGAAGAGGACATAAATCGCCTTTAGGAATTGTTATTTACAAAGGAGGTGGGAAGACGCTTTGAAGAGCAGCTTTTGGGGATTTCAGCTGGTAAGTGGCAGAAGAGCGTACTAACATTTGTGCTCTCGCTAGTGCACAATAAGATAACCAGTAGTTGAGGAATGAAATGAAAACACTGAGTAAAATTTATGAGTCTTGTACCATTTCTTTTACATCCTGAGGATTAGTAGTTGATTACTCAGGGGTGATTAAAACATAATGTCCACTCTTCTTTTTCCAAGATAATGAATGCTTTTAAGTATTTGATTTCTGTTTACTTCAGAATTTTCTCTGAACAGAACTGGTTTTTAGAAATATGCACCCAGAGTGTTTCTAGGGAGCAGGGGCTGGAAATAAAAAGGGTAGGCATTGTGAGGAAATGAAAGAAGCTGTAGCAGAGACCCTGAAAGTTATTCTGTTCGATGTTTTTGGTAATTTCTTTTGGTCTTCTCTTTTATGCACATGTGGAATTTTAGGCCAGACTGTGGCTCATTCTGTTTTTGGTATTCTGTGTCTCTTCTTTCCCTTGTTTGAGAATGATGATCAAGGATTTGGTTGCTTCTGTTAGGACATAAACTGTGGTAGATTCTGCTTGATGGTCATACTGTACGGAAGTTAGTGAAAGTAACTTGTAAAATGCTTCAGGTCTTTTTTTGTCAACTCCTTCGTGCTGAGACATGGCATAGGATTTGTACCTTAGATTCCTGAACCAGGTACCGGATAAGCTAGTGCTTCTTGTTTCTACCCTGGCTTTATCAAAAGGATACTGCATGAGGATAGGGACTCCTGCCTTTATTATCCAGGGTATTGCATGAGGGTAGGGACGCCTACTTTATTATCCAGCACCTAGCTAAGTTCCTTGCTCATAGAAGGCACTGGAGAGTTTGAATGCACAGATTAGTGTATGTGGAGAGAGGAGAGGGTGATAGGACTGCAACCCCTAAGTGATTCCAAGGGCCATTACACATTTCAGTGTATTTTACTCTTAATTTCTTTGCTTATTCTGTTTATAAAAGTGGCATATGTTCTTGCAAAAAAAAAAAAAAAAAGCAATACTGAAATGTAATACACCCTTCACCAGAGTATTAACTATTAACAACTTGTTATCCTTTTCATATTAGTACCTATAAGTCTTCCTCATTTTTTCTTTTTTTTAATTCCTCATTATTAAAATTGTTTAGTAGTCCTTTGTATCAGAGTACCATCATTTTTTGACCACTCTGCTATTCGCAGACATTTATGTTGTTTGCACTACTTTCTGTTATTATAAATGATGCTATTAATAAACATCTTGGTGTATTTTTGTGCAGTTTTATAAATGTTTTTAAAGGATAAATTGCGAGAAGTGGAATTGTTGGTTCAAAAGGTAATCTTTTAATAGGATTATGAAATTTTATCCCCATAAGTTGGTTCAAATGCGTAATCAACAATGTTGATACTTAATTTTAAAGAGGTACCTATGGAAACTAATAGTAATTTTCCAGACTTTAATTAACATTAACAGAAGATGAGCCCTATAATTGAGTGGAGAGAGACTTTAAGTGTAGAAAAATGTGGCTGGATGATATATATAACAAATGTTATAGATTTGTTGCTTACTGAATAACTGTGCCTAAGAGGGCTCTTGTTTTTATGAAGTAAAGTAAGTATATAGTATACAATAGCTGGGAAGGTTTAGTTCAGGGCCACACAGTAAGGAATAAGAGTGCTAATCAAATTTGTAGATAACAAGGAGCTTGGAGAGTTAGCTTTTGTGGAAAGTAGTGAAGTGTAGTGATAAAGGGCAGAATATTGGCCTTGGAATCAGACCTGGATTTGAATCCCAGCTCTACCATTTAATAGCTTTGTGATCTTGGGCAAGTTTATCAACCTTATCCTCAATGTCAGGTTTCTGACGTCTAAAATAGGATCATACCTTCACAGAAGTATCATATGGATTAACTTAAGATAAGTATATAGGTCTATATGTCACAGAACTCTAGAGAACACCGTTTGTATGGAATACAGAGTTGTGTAGCAGGCATGTCTGGGGTATTTAAGGTACTTGTATAGCAATTGTAGGTACTCTGGGTGCTATTTGTCTAATATGTAGGACATCCACCAAACTCACCGTACTTTAAAAGGATGGATTTTGAGGGCCACCTGGGTGGCCCAGTTGGTTAAGCATCTGACTCTTGATCTCAATCCAGATATTGATCTCAGAGCCATGAGTTCAAGCCCCACATTTGGCTACATGCAAAAAGATGGATTTTGAAATAATTTCAATGTCTTTGTGTCCCCATTTTTTTGTTTGTTATAGAAAATTTGGAAAATATTGAAGAAATACCCTCATATATTTTAAGTGTATCTTTTAGTCTCCTTTTTAATGTAAACTTTATGGAGTTACAGTTTTTTTACATGTGCATTTATTTTGAAAAAGAAACCATTTACAGTAAATTTTGAAAAATTTGACAAAGGTATAGCCACCACTCCAAGTTATAGAACATTTCATTCCCCTAAAGCTTGTGCTTTCTTTGAGAAAAAAATGTATGTGTGCTTCCTCTATTTTTACATAATTGGGATTCTATTATATAATTTTTATATCCTGTTTTTCAGTTACCATTATATAGTGATGATTTGTATCTTATAACCTCAGAAGTTTAATTTTAATGGGGTGTAATCCACTATTTAACCTTTTCTCTATTCATTTAGGTTGCTTAATTTTGTTTAAAATACTTATAGCAGCACCTGGGTGGCACAGTTGGTTAAGCATCCAACGAAAGCTCAGATCATGATCTCATGGTTCATGGGTTCGAGCCCCATGTCAGCTTTATGCTGACATCTCAGAGCCTGGAGCCTGATTCTGATTCTGTGTCTCCCTTTCTCTCCAACCCTCCCCAACTTGTGCTCTGTCTCTGTCTCTCTCAAAAATAAATGAACATTTAAAAAGTTAAAAAGAGGGGCGCCTGGGTGGCTTAGTCGGTTAAGCGTCCGACTTTCGCTTAGGTCATGATCTCGCGGTTCGTGGGTTTGAGCCCCGCGTCGGGCTCTGTGCTGACTGCCAGCTCAGAGCCTGGAGCCTGTTTCAGTCTGTGACTCCCTGTCTCTCTGACCCTCCCCTGCTCACGCTGTCTCTCTCTCTCCTAGAAATAAATAAAAAATATTAAAAAAAAAAAAGTTAAAAAGAAATAT